CGGCTGGAAATCAAGCCTAGTCGCTTGGCAGGTTTATAAAATGTTTTAAAAGGGAGATGCACCAATTCTGCATTGCAATGATCACCATAACTACGTAGGTGCATGTGGTGGCCTCATGGTTAGTGTGCTCAACTCCGGATCAAGCGGTCAGGGTTCTATCCCTGGCCAGATGCATTGTGTTGTGTTCTTGGGTGAGACACTTTACTCTCGCATCGTCCCACTCCACCCAGGTGTATAAATGAGTACCAGCGAATTTAATGCTGGGCGGTAACCCTGCAATGGACTAGCATCCCATCCAGGAGGGAGTAGAAATACCTCCTAGTTGCTTCAATTGCTACTGACAAAAGCTCCAGCCTGACGGGCCATTTGGCTTGTATGCAGACTTTACCTAATACATGTGTAATTAAGCATCCTCTTTTTCTTGTTTTCACATTTCAGTCCATGATGGAACTTCATAAACGTCGAAAAGCCCTAACTGAACCCGAAGTGCGTTACTTCATGAAGCAGATAGTTGAAGGCTGTAAATATCTACATGACAACAAGATCATTCATCGTGATCTTAAACTTGGAAACTTATTCCTAAACGATGAAATGGATGTCAAGATTGGGGACTTTGGTCTTGCGACTAGAGTGATGATTGATGGGGAAAGAAAAAAGTAAGAAAATTGAACATGGTGAAGGTTATAAAATTTATAAATGTTTCAGGCTTGTTACCTTAGTTAATTATGTACATGTACTGTAACAGATTACAGTTGTGTAACAAAGGAAAATGTGATTTGCATCAAAGAAAAAGTGAATGAAAGTTCAGACCAAGATTTGTCAAGTCTGCCAGAATAGTAGACATTTATAAATATTTCAATGAGCTAATATACATGTATACACCTTGGTGGAAAGATGCAAACATGAATATGGTGTCTTTATAAGTTTGTATCTCAAAATTTGAAAATAAAAAAGGGTGAACACACTCTTTTGAAGCCATCTTTTTAAAAAGTATTGTCAAATGCTTCATTACAACTCCTAGGACATGGACTACAAGTTTTACCTTTTGATTTTATATGTATAGAGTCTGATATTATTGATTTTTTTTTTTCAGAACCCTGTGTGGCACTCCTAACTACATTGCACCTGAAGTACTCAACAAGAAGGGACATAGCTTTGAGGTGGATGTCTGGTCATTGGGATGTATTCTGTAAGTTAATAATAATTTTTTTATTAATTTGTTTCTTTCTGTTTAAAAATGTGATGTATCAAACCGGCCATTGCCCAGCTATTTGATTAGAACTGTTTGCAAGCACAATACGTTGCTTTGAATTTGACAAAGCTCAATGCAAAAAATTGCCTCATTAGAGAGGACCCCTGGATTGTCAAAGAAGCAGGTGACCAGACCTAACCAGGGTCTCTCCTCTCTCGCTCCAGGGGGTAGTAAGATGAGAGACCCTGGGGAAGAGGTTGTATACTTGCTCTGATGAAAATGTTTACATTCAATATTGTTGCATATCACACATGTAAAAATTAATATATCAAACACAAAACTAAAGCCTGAAATTGACCTCATTTCCAAGCACTAAGAAGTATATTATCAAGCACTAAGATTTGAAAATTCATGGTTAACACTTCTTCAGTTCTGTGTCCAGTGTTTGTGGGAAACAATTGGTAAATTATAGTTAATAGTAATATTTGCTTCAAACTTGATTT